TTTAAGTACATATTTAAAATCATTAAGCTGATTGCTCGTCATTGATTTGTCACTTCTGATCTAAGCATTGTTCTCGCTGTACAACAGATTTGAAACAAATTCCCTAACCTTTTTTCCAAATTGCCTTCATTCCCTTTCATTTTAAAAACCCAATCTTGGTAATTTTCAAAATTGCCAAACTGGATATATCCTCAATCAGTGTGCTCCCTAACATCTTTTATGCTAAATTTTAACCCAAAACATTTTCAATTTCTAAAAATACTTGGTTAAAAAGGTGTAACTGAATGTAAGTGCTTGTATTTCTACTGCTGCAAAATAAAAAGAGGATTTATTTTAGTGACAAGCACAAAGCTAATAGGTTAGTTTCTTTTACTTTCAACCAATGCCTGATCGAGGACCAAATTTCATTCTTATTAGGGACAAAATTATCTCTAATCTGCAGTACACATCTCTATTAAATACTCTGCATTTATTGCACATGTATGATTTATTTTATGAAATAGAAAAGTTTCATGTGGAATATGAGAAAAGAACATACAGTAGAGATCAATGCTCAAAATAAGAGGTCAACAGTGAAGATTGGAGCGTTTTATTAACCACTGTTATCTTAACCTTTGTTTACATTAAAGCTGGTGGTTCTACTTTTGTATAATGACACACCCCTAATGTGAATATTCAGACTAAAGTTTGTTATCCTCCTTTTTCAGGAAATGTTATCATGAGCATGCCTTACAGAAGTTTGCTAAGAGCTGCATGTTGTTTAAAAGTGATTTCTTGGGTTTTTGTTTCTCCTGACTTATTTTCCTAGACTGATCCCGTTGAGAACACATATGTACGGAATCCGAACATCAAGTTTTACATCCAGTCAAGGTCCACATCTCCTTCCACATCTAGTGAAGCTGAGCCAGTTAAGGTGCCTCATTGGAGCAGTCTTGCTCCCCTACTTTTCACTTGTGTCAGGACAGAGGGAATTGCAAAAACAAGTGAAATCTGACTCTCTTTTCATCAAATATATTGTGTCATAAGTCACAGTAGATGGGAGCTCATTACATTTGACTGATAATATAGATAGGACTATAAAACTAAAGTAGAAAATTGTCTTCCCAAATTCAACCTAAAATAGACAAAATAAAAGTAGTCTTTAAGTAGAGAACTATATCTAACAGAGGACAGAGTTACGTAAGTTTTGGAATTATCGGATACAAACTCTGTAGGCACATGGCAGTGTCAAGTGTCATTCTCATTTTAATTCTTCTACTAAATCTCATAAACATGACATAACTGTTACTTCATAAAATTGCCATGGCTGGCAAAGTTAGAATAGTTTCTTCTAACTGCTAAATCAGCAATAGGCATGCAACTAAATCCTGCCTTTTAATAGTACAAAAACAAATGTTGTGTCTGCACCTCATGTCAGTCAGTGGTTTTAAACAGCCAATTGTCCAGTTTTCTCGACAGAGATCATTTTCTCAACAAGTCCGAAGGATGTGTTATGCCTCAGTTAATGCCATCCTGCCTCAAGGTGCAGGTGTGGTTGTTCACTCAGCATTCCAGTTCTGACGGAGCTCCTCTGTTTCCACTGTATCTCCAGAGCTGTTTCTGGCATTCCAGTGGAAGCAGATGGTCCAGTTTGGAGAGCTGTCTGAAGTGAAGGGTGACTTGTAGTCAGATTCTGACTTGGTTTTTTACAACCCTGTAATAGACTTCCCCAGACTGGTCAAGTTAATGAGACCCTCTGCTTTTTTTTTTTTTTTTTTAATAATTTTATTTATTTATTTTTTTCCCTCCAAAGCCCCAGTAGATAGTTGTATGTCATGGCTGCACATCCTTCTAGTTGTTGTATGTGGGACGCGGCCTCAGCATAGCCGGAGAAGCCGTGCGTCGGTGCGCACCCGGGATCCGAACCCGGGCCGCCAGCAGTGGAGCGCACACTTAACCGCTAAGCCACGGGGCCGGCCCCCCCCGCCTTTTTTTAATCATTGTTTTAATATTTTGAGTTTATACATTTTTATTTTAATGTTGAAATATTTCTAGCACACAGAGAATAATATAATAAACACCCGTGTAACCACCATCCACAGATTTAACAGATGTGAACATTTTGCCCTGTTTTTTTCAAATTTGTATTCAAAGAAAGAAAATATTCCAGACAGTTGAAACACTCTTCCCTGTACCATTGCCCTCTCTCCTTTCCCAGAGGCATCTAACAACCCTGACATTGATGTGCATCCTCTCTTCTTTGGTTTTACATTTTATTTCGTTTGTATTTGTAAATAATATATAATGACGTTTGTATATTTAAATTTTACACAAAGGTTGTCTGTATCTTTCTGCAGTTTCTTTCATTCGACATTATGCTTTTGAGGTTTATTCATTCAGATACACGTCTATTTAGTTCATTAATTATAATTGTTGTGTAATATTTCATTTTGTGATATACCACAACTATTTATCCGTTCTCCTATTGTTGGATATTTAGCTTGTTTCCAGTTTTTTTGTTATTACAGTCAGCGCTGAAGTGAACATCCTAGTAGCTAACTGCTTTTGCAAATGTGCAGAGTATATTTAGCATGTATATCTCGAAGTGGAATTTTTGGGTTGTGTGGTATGTGCATTTTCAGTTTTAACTAGATTTTGCCAAATTATTTTCCACAGTGATGGGACCAGTTTTCACTCCCAGCAGCAGTTTGTGCAAGTTCCCCATTTTCCCACACCCTTGTCAATCCTTGGTATTGTCGGACATTAACTTTTGCCAATTTGATGGGTATGGAGTGGCATTTTTGTTTTAATTTGCAGTTCTCTGATTTCAAGTGTTACTCAGCATCTTTTTATATGTTTACTGACCATTAGGTGATTTGCCTAGTCATGTCTTTTGTCCACTGTTCTATTGAGTATTTTTTCTGTTGTTTTGTAAGTGTTCTTTATATATTCTGGATACTAATCTTTAGCTGGCTATATGAACTGCAGGTATTTTCTTCCAGTCTGTGGCTTATTTTTAAATTTTATTTGTGGTATCTTTTTGTCTTGCAACAGTTTTTATTTTAAAGTAGTCGTATTTATCAATCTTTTCCGTTATGACTTCTGCTTTTTATATCTTTCTAAAATGATTCTTCTGTATGCAACAATTATAAAGATTTTCTTCCATATTTTCTTCTAAGTTTAAAAATTTTGCTTTTACATGTTTAAGACCTTAATCAAACTGAAATTTATTGTTATGTATTACGAGAAATGGGGTTCTAATCTATGTTTCTCATATGAACAACCAACTCTCCTATATTTCCCCCACTGATTTGTAAGGCTATCTCTACTTTATAAAAATGGGTCTGTTTGGGGGTTCTCTGTTCTCTTCCGTTGTTCTTTTTTGTCTATTGCTGCACCAACATCACATTATCTTAATTACTATAGCCCTAAAATAATTCCTGGTACCTGGTATGGTCAGCCACTCCCACTCACCTTCTTCTTTTTCTTCTTGACCATTTAGTTTTACATATGACTTTTAGGATCTGCTTGTTAAGTTCCGTGTGAGGCTTTTGATTGGAATTGGGTTGAATTTATAGATTTATCTGAGGAGAATTGACATCTATGTGATATTGGGTATTTCCATCTGTGAACATGGTATGCATATTATTTACATATTCTTTTATATCCTTCAATAAAGTTTCATTATGTATTTCATATTACTTGTTAGATTTGTTTCTAGGTACCTTAAAGTTTTTGTTGCTATGGTGAATAGGATCTTTTTAAAATATGGTTTCTTATTAGGCATTGCTGGTCTTTATGAACTCTGTTGATCTTGTATCCAGCCCCTTGTTTCATTCCTTTTAATTCTAAAAACTTGTCTTGGACTTTTGATGTAAATTCTAATGACAATTTTGTTTACTATGAATTGTTTTTTAAATTAACTTTTATATAGGTTTCCAGTGTTCCTCTCTTTTATCTTTCATATTTATCTTTTTAAATGTTAAATTATAAATTGGGTTTAAAACTTTTTCAGGCTGCTTAAAAGTAAATTAAATTTAAATTGGAGCTAAACTGAATTAAGCAGAAAATTCTGAGAAGCTCAACTCAGTTCCACTTTAAGGCTATAATGCATATAAAATATTCTGCTTTGGGAGGTTATATGGCAACAAAGACAAAGAGGGACCATTCCTTTTTCTCTTAATAATTTAGAATATTCTATAACTTTATACAAAGCTAGCTTTTTCGTCTTGTTTGCTTGCTTGGCATCCTAAACGGAAGAAATTCTTCGTATCTTTTTTTTATATACTTTGCTAATTAAGTTATGTCTCTTTTTCCACAATAACATCCAATAAAATCACTGGTTCCTTTCATTCAGAGAAATAGGTTACAATAATTACTCATAAAATATAGATATGGCTTACAACTAAATTTGTATGTAAGTTCTGAATTCCAATAATAAATAATCTAACTCCCTTCTTTGGAAATTAATTTCTTCACAAAAATCCCACTAATCAATCAATTAATATCTCTCTCTCTCTCTTTCTCTCTCTACATATATACATACATACACACAGATTCACAGAGTTGTGTTCCATATATGTAATATGCATTCTGAATATAGAAGTCAAGGAGTTAAAAGACCTTCTAAATATTTTGATTACAAATCTTGCTAAAAACTCTTTGAGCTATTTTTTGGAATTAATATGGCATTTTCAGAAGACTTGAAAATGAATAGCCTCATTTTTATATAGGTCACACGCTATGACTTTTTTGTTTTCTTCTCTGGATTCTCTTTTACAAATTATTTATTTTTAAATTTTCAGACTGAAATAATTTTTACTAATTGAACAAATGTTTCATTTGTAGACATTGCAGGCAGAAATTTAAATTATCAACACTAGGAGAATTTTAGCTTTATTGAGATATTTTTTGCCTTATTGATGTTTTGTTTGGCTTTATTTACTTAGATTTATTTCTGGTGATCTTTGAAATAGATGGAGTGTTTCATGACTTTTTTTTTTTTTTGCCCCTGGATTCAGACTGTAGACTCTGCTCCACTTGCAGCTCACACACCAACCTTAAGGAAGAAGGGATGTCCTGGGTCAGCTGGCCTTCCACCTAAGGTACTCAATGTGGTTATAAGTATGGCGTGTTCTGAAGAATAAAAAAGAGAGAGAGAATGGATTTCTTCTGCTTTTTGTATTTGCCGTGATTTTTGCTAATGGTTTCCTCAAAATGACAAACAGAAAAGCTTGGAAAGAAAATAAATTCTGTATGAATGGAAATAAACACCACTGAGAAAGGAAGAGTGTACAAAGTTTGTTTTGCTTCCATCTTCTTAAATTCAGTGTTTGGAAGTCTGTTATAGTAAGGAGCAGTGCTTGGAGGAGGTATTGTAAGGAAAGCATTAAGTTGAGACTAAGTTGAGACCACTGTGGAAGAATCTAAGATTGAGGTTAATAAACAAACCACTGAGAAAGAGAAATGTTTAGTGAAAAGTTCAGGTGAATTATTTTTTTTTCATTCTATTCAACATGATTATGACTGAAGTATATGGTAGAACGTGAAGATTTAGTTGCTGATCTCAAGCTCCTACAAAGAAATTCTAGAAATTGGGAAACTGAAATGATCTACATCCCCAGAACATAAACCTTGGATGAATGACAGACTGAGAGAGAGTTTGATGGATCTGAAAAACTAATAAAATATACAAAAGTATAACTGGTATAAAAGAAAGAAAACAAACACCTGTGGTAGTTAAAGCAAAATTTTGAGGCCAGACAGAACCTGAATTTAAAATAAGCACAATACATATCCGCAAAGAGATAAGAAAGCACATATGTTGGTAACATGGGGCAGGATAAGGCACTTATGAAGAAAAATGATTTGCAGGTGCTTGACAGGAAAATAGAACTGCTGAAGTAAAGAACTCAGCAGGTGACTTTAATAGAATGAGCAAACTGGATATAGCAGGAAAACAAGTTAGTGAGATGGAAGATGAGATGGCAAATATGAAAGGTAAGGTATATAACAGGAATAGTATCAATATCTATATAGTAGGACTTTCAAAAGTAAAGAAAAAATAGAGAGATGGAAATACTTAAAGAAATAATTACCTAAAATTTCCCAGAGTTAAAGAGGAAAAACCTCATATTGAAATACATCATTATGTGCTAAAGAGAATAGATAAGAAAAAACTCACACCTAGACACGTTATAGTAAAATTTAAGGATATTATAGCTCAAGAGAAAATTCTAAAAAACATTCAAAGAGAAAGAGCAGATCATCTGTAAACAACAGTCAGATTGATCTCAGTCTTCTCAACAGCAACACCATGTGCAAGAAGACATTTAAGAAATATGTTCAAAGTGTTGAAGAAAAAGAACTTTGAACCCTAAAATTTTAACCCAGCTATACTATCACTTTATAAGTATAAGAGCAAATTAAAAATAATCTCAGGTATACAAGGACCTAGCAAGTTTATTATTAAAAAAAAAAAAAAACTCTTTGAAAATACTCTTGTATACACCAACAATGAACTATCAGAAAGAGAAATTAAGAAAACAATCTCATTTACAATTGCATCAAAAAGAATAAAATACCTAGGAATAAATTTAACCAAGGAAGTGAAAGATCTGTTGAGTGAAAACAATAAGACACTGATAAAAGAAATTGAAGAAAACACAAATAAATGAAAAGATATTTCATGCTCATGGATTGGAAGAATTAATATTGTTAAAATGTCTATACTACCCAAAACGATCTACAGATTCAAAGCAATTCCTATCAAAATTCCAACACTACATTTCACAGAAATAGGAAAAACCATGTTAAAATTTGTATGGAACCAAAAAAGACCCCCGAATAGCCAACGCAGTCTTGGGAAAGAACAAAGCTGGAAGCATCACACTGCCTGATTTCAAACTAATTACAAAGTTATAATAATCAAAACAGTATGGTATTGGCATAAAAACAGATACATAGATCAATGTAGGAGAATAGAAAGCCCAGAAATAAATATGAATATATCTATTAATTGACCACATGTATGGTCAATTAATTTGTGACAAAGGAGCCAAGAACATACAATCGGGAAAGGATAGTCTCTTCAATAAATCATGTTGGGAAAACTGGGACAGCCACATGCAAAAGAATGAAACTGGACCCCTATCTTATACCATACAAGAAAATCAACTCAGAACGGATTAAAGACTTGGACATAAGACCTGAAACCATAAAACTCCTAGAAGAAAACATAGGGGATAAGCTCCTTGACATCAGTCTTGGCAATGACACCAAAAGCAAAGGTAACAAAAGCAAAAATAACCAAGTGGGACTACATCAAACTAAAAAGCTGCATAGCAAAGAAAACAATCAACAAAATAAAAAGACAACCTATGGAATGGGAGAAAATATTTGCAAATCATGCATCTGATAAGGGGTTAATAGCCAAAATATATAAGAACTCATACAACTCAATAGCAAAAAAAAATCTGATTGAAAAATGGACAGAGAAACTGAAAAGACATTATTCCAAAGAAGACATACAAATAAATGGCCAACAGATACATGAAAAGGTGCTCAACATCACTAATCATCAGGGAAATGCAAATGAAAATCACAATGAGATGTCATTTCACATCTATTAGAATGGCTATCATCCAAAAGACAGGAGATAACAAGTGTTGGTGAGGATGTGGAGAAATGGGAACCCTTGTGCACTGTTGATGGAAATGTAAATTGGTGCAGCCACTATGGAAAACAGTATGAAGGTTCCTCAAAAAATTGAACATAGAACTACCATATGTTCCAGCAATTCCATTTCTGGGTATATATCCAAAGGAAATAAAATCACTATCTCAGAGATATCTGCACACCCATGTTCATTGCAGCATGATTTGCAATAGTCAAGATGGTGGGAATAACCTAAGTGTCCATCAACAGATGAATAGATAAAGAAAATGTGGCATATGTATATGCAATGGAATATTATGCAGACATTAAAAAAACAAGGAAATCCTGCCATTTGTGACAACATGGGTGGACTTTGAGAAGAGAAATAAGTCAGGTAGAGAATGACAAATACTGTATGGTCTCACTTACATGTGGAATCTGAAAAATCCAAACTCATAGAAATGGAGGACATAGTGGTGGTTGCCAGAGGTGGGGGGGTGATTAGGGAAATGGATGAAGGTGGTCAAAAGGTACAAAAGTCCAGTTATAAGACAGGTAAGTTCCAGGGGTGAATATAAAGTATAGTGACTATAGTTAACAACCCTATACTGTATTTGAAACTTGGTAAGAGAGTAGATCTTAAACGTTCTCATCACAAGAAAAAAAAATTTGTAACTACATGAGGTGATGGATGTTAACTAAACTTATTGTGGTAATCATTTCACAATATATACATATTTCACGTCATTATGTTGTACACCTTAAACTAACACAATGTTATATGTCAATTATATTTCAATAAAACTGGAAGGGAAAAAAAAAGAAAATATTCTGGGAGGAAGTTCTTCATCAAGAAGAGATATAAAGCCAAGAGGCCACTATGAGAGATTTGGGAAATGGGATAAATAGTTATCTTAGAGGACTTGACTGTCATCTATAAAAGCAAGGACCCTCCGCTCTACAAAAATCAAAGTAGAAGAAAATGTAAATTCAAAACAGTTCAGAACTAATCTAAATACAGACACAGTGGAGGTGAGTGTAAGGATCAGGTGAGGTGAGCGTGCTTGGGGAGAAGTTGCAGAGACAGTGTAGCATGGTAGTTATCAGGGTAAACTCCCAACCAGACTTCCTAAGTTGAAGTCTCAGCTCCATCTCATACTAGTTGTGTGAACTTGACCAAGTTACTCACCTTGCTCTGCTTCCGTTTCCTTGTCAAAAAATGAGGGTAATCATAGTCTGCATCTCATTGGATTCTTTTGAGTTTTAAAGAAACTTAATATTTATAAAGAACTTAGAGCAGTGTCTGACATAATAGTACCATATAAATATGTTTAAATAAATATTGATAACTTGATAAGGAAAGTAAGCACAAGTGTGGATCTTAAAAAGTTGAGGGGAATAAAGAAAAGACTAGCAAATGAAAGGTATAACTTTCATACATGCAGAAGGAAATGCTGTTCATTGAAAAGAGGCAGGAAAGGGAAAGAGAAGAAAGGAAAACATGATGACCCGGTAAGTACTCTTAACTGTATAATAAATTGTCTCAAATCTTAGTGGCTTCAAAAAAAAAAAAAACTTATTCTCATGATTTTGTGGGTATGAATTTGGGAAGGGCTCAATAGGAAGTTCTCACTGGGAGTCTCCCATGTAAGTGCAGTCATATATCAGTTGAGACTTCAGTTGTCTGAAGGTTCAACTGGACTGAGTGTCCAGATGGCTCACTCCCATGACAGGCAGTTGATGCTGGCTTCTGGCAGCTACTCATGGTCCCTCCAGCATGGCAGTCTCAGGCTTCTTACATGGCAGATAGTTTCCCCCAGAGTGAGCATACCAAGAGAACTGTAAAAGCTGCATGGCTTAAAGCAAAGTCCTAGGGAAAGGTAGAAAATAAAGGAGAGATCACAGATACATCCTATAACATGGAGTTTAAGGTGTAAAACATCAAACGACATAAAAGAGGACATGATTACTAATAAGGGGAATAAAGAAGATATAATGATCATTGCATACTAATAAAGGGGATAAAGAAGACAAAATGATCATGAGTGTGTATGGACCTAACAGTAAAGCCCTAAGCTATATAAAACAAGAACTAAGAGAACTAGGGAGAGAAATAGATTAGAAATAGATTGGGAATTTTAATACACAACCTCATAGACAAACAATGTAGTAGGAAAAAAAAGCAAAGCAGAGGACAGAGGGTTACTATCTGCATACACCAAGAGCTTTTATAGACAAGGGAGTAAGTTGTATAAAAGTTAACTAGCCAAAAGCCAGGAATAAGCAGATGAAAAATCAAAATGATTGACAAACTGAAGAGATGCTCAAACTTATTAGAAGCTGGGGAAAAGCAAATTAAAGTAATAATGAGCTGTCCCTTTACATTTGTGACATACAAATCCCCATTATCAGTAGGATACTATGACACATTATGGGGGGAAATTTGAAT